TGGGGCATAATTGTTTCCACTGACACCAATGATGGGGCACTATTCCTCCCGCTGACACCAATGATGGGGCACTATTCCTCCCACTGACACCAATGATGGGGCACTATTCCTCCCACTGACACCAATGATGGGGCACTATTCCTCCCACTGACACCAATGATGGGGCACTATTCCTCCCACTGACACCAATGATGGGGCACTATTCCTACCACTGACACCAATGATGGGGCACTATTCCTCCCACTGACACCAATGATGGGGCACTATTCCTCCCACTGACACCAATGATGGGACACTATTCCTCCCACTGACACCAATGATGGGACACTATTCCTCCCACTGACACCAATGATGGGGGCACTATTCCTCCCACTGACACCAATGATGGGGCACTATTCCTCCCACTGACACCAATGATGGGGCACTATTCCTCCCACTGACCCCAGTGGTGGGGGCACTATTCCCTCCCACTGACCCCAGTGGTGGGGGCGCTAGTCCTCCCACTGACACCAGTGGTGGGGGCGCTAGTCCTCCCACTGACACCAGTGGTGGGGGCGCTAGTCCTCCCACTGACACCAGTGGTGGGGGCGCTAGTCCTCCCACTGACACCAGTGGTGGGGGCGCTAGTCCTCCCACTGACACCAGTGGTGGGGGCGCTAGTCCTCCCACTGACACCAGTGGTGGGGGCGCTAGTCCTCCCACTGACACCAGTGGTGGGGGCGCTAGTCCTCCCACTGACACCAGTGGTGGGGGCGCTAGTCCTCCCACTGACACCAGTGGTGGGGGCGCTAGTCCTCCCACTGACACCAGTGGTGGGGGCGCTAGTCCTCCCACTGACACCAGTGGTGGGGGCGCTAGTCCTCCCACTGACACCACTGGTGGGGGCGCTAGTCCTCCCACTGACACCACTGGTGGGGGCGCTAGTCCTCCCACTGACACCACTGGTGGGGGCGCTAGTCCTCCCACTGACACCACTGGTGGGGGCGCTAGTCCTCCCACTGACACCACTGGTGGGGGCGCTAGTCCTCCCACTGACACCACTGGTGGGGGCGCTAGTCCTCCCACTGACACCACTGGTGGGGGCGCTAGTCCTCCCACTGACACCACTGGTGGGGGCACTATTCCTCCCAGTGATGGGGCACTATTCCTCATACTGACCACCAACCCTGTGGCCATGTTTATTCACACTGATGCTGGGCCCGAGACATTTTCTACCCCCATTGGCCACAATTCAGCCCCCCTAAAGTTTGAAAGACAGTACATTGGCCCTTTGTGTAGAATGTCTGGAGACCCCCTGCTCTAGGGGAATGGTTATTATTGCACAGGATTTATGTAGCACCGACAGTTTGTGCAGCACTTGACAATATAAAGGGAGACCGGTATCGTTCCGATACAAAAAAAAAACACAAGATGGTTCGGAGGGCCTTGCTCATAGGAGCTCACAATCTAATAGGACGGGGCAAGTGGTACATAAGTTTATACCTGCGGGGGATGAGCGGATGGAACAGTAAGTCCTCATGCACACGGGATGTTTTTACAGCGGCTGTTTTTGGCTTTTGATGTTTTTTTTTTTATACAGCCAGTAAACTCCCCAGCATGTTATCCCATGTGTCCATCCCCGGCATGTTATCCCATGTGTCCATCCCCGGCATGTTATCCCATGTGTCCATCCCCGGCATGTTATCCCATGTGTCCATCCCCGGCATGGTATCCTACGTGTCCATCCCGGCATGTTATCCCATGTGTCCATCCCCGGCATGGTATCCTACGTGTCCATCCCCGGCATGTTATCCTATGTGTCCATCCCCGGCATGGTATCCTACGTGTCCATCCCCAGCATGTTATCCTACGTGTCCATCCCCGGCATGTTATCCTACGTGTCCATCCCCGGCATGTTATCCTATGTGTCCATCCCCGGCATGTTATCCTACGTGTCCATCCCCGGCATGTTATCCTACGTGTCCATCCCCGGCATGTTATCCTACGTGTCCATCCCCGGCATGTTATCCTACGTGTCCATCCCCGGCATGTTATCCTACGTGTCCATCCCCGGCATGTTATCCTACGTGTCCATCCCCGGCATGTTATCCTACGTGTCCATCCCCGGCATGTTATCCTACGTGTCCATCCCCGGCATGTTATCCTACGTGTCCATCCCCGGCATGTTATCCTGTGTGTCCATCCCCGGCATGTTATCCTGTGTGTCCATCCCCGGCATGTTATCCTACGTGTCCATCCCCGGCATGTTATCCTACGTGTCCATCCCCGGCATGTTATCCTACGTGTCCATCCCCGGCATGTTATCCTACGTGTCCATCCCCGGCATGTTATCCTACGTGTCCATCCCCGGCATGTTATCCTGTGTGTCCATCCCCGGCATGTTATCCTGTGTGTCCATCCCCGGCATGTTATCCTGCGTGTCCATCCCCGGCATGTTATCCTACGTGTGTCCATCCCCGGCATGTTATCCTACGTGTCCATCCCCGGCATGTTATCCTACGTGTCCATCCCCGGCATGTTATCCTACGTGTCCATCCCCGGCATGTTATCCTGTGTGTCCATCCCCGGCATGTTATCCTGTGTGTCCATCCCCGGCATGTTATCCTGCGTGTCCATCCCCGGCATGTTATCCTACGTGTGTCCATCCCCGGCATGTTATCCTGTGTGTCCATCCCCGGCATGTTATCCTGTGTGTCCATCCCCGGCATGTTATCCTGTGTGTCCATCCCCGGCATGTTATCCTGTGTGTCCATCCCCGGCATGTTATCCTGTGTGTCCATCCCCGGCATGTTATCCTGTGTGTCCATCCCCGGCATGTTATCCTGCGTGTCCATCCCCGGCATGTTATCCTGCGTGTCCATCCCCGGCATGTTATCCTACGTGTCCATCCCCGGCATGTTATTATCCTACGTGTCCATCCCCGGCATGTTATCCTACGTGTCCATCCCCGGCATGTTATCCTACGTGTCCATCCCCGGCATGTTATCCTACGTGTCCATCCCCGGCATGTTATCCTATGTGTCCATACACATATAGACTGGAATCAACGTTTTTGGGCTGGAAAAACCCCCCAGAACTAATGTGTTTCTAGAGGAGTTTTTTAGCTGTAAAACGCTCTAATGCTGAAAAACGCAGCAAACTGGCTTTTTTGGATGTTTTTGTGAGAAAAAAAAAGCTAAAAACCGCAAATGTGGCTAAACGCTAATTCAAAAATGCTAACAAACGCTGAAAAACTCGCGTTAACGTGACTGTACACAGACAACGCTACCAGCGTTATTAAAACTGCGAGTGTGCATGGAGCCATGATGGGCCTCCCTGAAGAGATGAGTTCTCGGGGATCATCTAAAGCTGGCCAGTTTGTGAGATAGTTGGACAGATTGAAGTAGAGCGTTCCAGAGGATGGGAGAAGTTCCGGAGACAAGCATAGGAGGAGGAGACGAGAGGTTGAGAGCAGGAGGTCTTAGGAGCTTAAAAGGAGATGCACTTATCTTATCCTCCGCTACCCCCAACCCCCCCCCCCCCCATCTAGCAATGTAGGGTTCTGACATCATCAAGACCAGAGCAGGGTCCATAGCCCCTTACTGATTGTGAGACCGTTCACTGCCGTTGTGGAGAGGAGGAGGATGAGGTAAGTAAAACAATTTCTCCTCTCTCCTAGACAAAATGCATGCACAGCCCCACTGCAAGGGATCTTCTTTTTTTTTTTTTGCCTAGAGTTGGTCTTTGAACATTCCTGAATGCTTCAGGCTGCTCTCCCCACCTTTTTGCCTTTTTTTTTTTTCTTTTTTAACCCCCCTGGCGGTATTCCTGAGTGTAGCTCGGGGTAAAGTTTCAGCACCACAAGCGGTAACCCCGAGCTACACTTAGGAATACCCTGCAGTGTTGCTCCGGGATCCCTCGATCACTTACCTTGTCCTGCGCTCCTGCGATGTCCCTCCTGCAGTGTCCCCTGTAATGTCCTCCGGCCAATGTCAGCATCTGTCTTCCAGGTTCCGTTCCCTGCAACGTCGGGACGTACGGGGGACGGAACTGGCGGGAAATTTGAAAGTTGTAAAAGTGACATTCACTAAAATCTCTTAGTATAACATTCCTGTATCAAAAACCATTTCACATACATTTTGTCCCGAGTGCTTTGTCCGGCGCCCTGCCTGCATTTTTACTGTTCTTTCTGCCTGGAAACTGAAAAACGTCCATGGCGTCCAAAAAGCGTCCCTTTAGGTCAAAAGCGGTTTTAGACCGGCTAGAGAACAGCGATAGGAAATCAGAACCACTTGCAGAATTGAGTGATAATGATTCGTGGGGGAAATTCCTCATCAGACACTGAAAACGATTCTGCGACTTTGCTCAGCGATGTGCGAACTTGGCGCTATATTTCACATTTCAGTGTTTTTGGTTTGATTATATTATTGAATTAAATTTATTATTATTATATTATTATTTTTTATGATTATTAAATTATAATTTATGATTTCGTGTTTAAAATGTTATCATCCCCGGGATGTTTACTAGACTCTTGTTCCGACAGATTTCAGTGAGTTATTCCTAAAAATTACAGCCTACAATGAAAAATAATACATATTTCCATGCAAAAAAAAAGTACCGCTTTGAGCACAGAAATATCGACATAATCAGGTTAAAAGTTGTTTATTATTTTGCATTTATAAAACACAATAACAGAACAGATAAATGATAACAGGAACCCAAAACTAAAACCTAAGAGCAAGGGTACGCAGAAAGGGATCAGAAACAATTAACAAATTATTGCCAGGCCGTGAGTAGGAAAAATTGCAAAACAAAAACAGATCAACAATCAAAAAGAGTCAAACACACACAGCAGCCACAAACAGCCGCACCACGAACCTCCCATACCACATTTTACCTTTGGAATAAAGTCCACTTACCGTCCTGTACGCTGCATACGGTCTGAACGCAGAATTCTTACGTCCTCTTTTGTCTTTGTAGGTGTTTAAGTGTTGTGCGTCCCATCCCTGCATGTGAAGATGACTCGGTTAGGGTTTTTGCGGCTGTCCTATGAGAAACAGGACACTCTCCTCAAACTCCTCATCCTGTCCATGGCTGCAATTCTCTGTAAGTACCGTGGGGACTTTTACAGTTGTTTGGGGGGTTTCATAGTATATACATTGGGGGGAGATTTACTAAGGCTGGCCATACACTATACAATTTTCTGACCGATTTCCTTTAAATTTATCTTCAACTGTGTAGTGCAAGAGCCTGCCTAATTGGATACAATTGAAAGTTTTGTTAGGTTTGACCTATTATATGGTTTTTAAATCTAAACCAAAAATCGCAAGAAAATTGTATAATGTATGGCCAAGCTTTAAACTGGTGCAGCTGAGCATGGTAGCCAATCAGCTTCCAGGTTTGATTGGCAAAGCTTAATTGAACATGCTGAAGGTAAAAGCTGATTGGCTCCCATGAGGAGCTGCACCAGATTCTGAGAGCTCCAGTTTTAGTAAATCAACCCAATCCTCTTTTTGAAACTGCATTTTGGGAAGAGCTGTGTTGTAGGGATGCACCGATATCGATATATGTATCAGCCGAAAAAAAAAACGTTGATGATAAATGACCTATGAAAAACCACTGCAAAATCACAAGAAAAATCGCACATTTAGTAAACGTAGTGCAGTGTTGATACTTTTTTTTTTTTTATGTGTTTTGAATCTGCCCAGCAACAAGTTAGCCCAAGGAAAAAAAAAAAAACACCCCCATTAACAAAAAAAAAAAAAAAATGCAAAACCGTTCAAAACCGCATGCAAAAGGACAAAAACACAAGCTGCATTGGTGTGAACTAAATGCATTGAAAACGCACATGTATTGCATTTCTGATGCGGTTTTTGAGTCACGTGACCTGTGAAAAAGCATGGCTAAATCGTGGGTAAAATTGCACGTTTATTGGCAGCCGAAAAAAGCTGACGGTAGCCACCAGTAAACGTGTGATTTTTACCTGCGATTTAGCTACGGTGTTTCATAGCTCATGTGACTCAAAAACCGCATGAGAGATGCAATACATGTGCGTTTTCAATGCATTTTAGGCCTAGTTCACATCAATGCAGCTTGTGTTTTTGTCCTTTTTGCAGTGCCTTTTGCATGTGCTTTTTTGATGTGTTTTTTTTTTTTTTTCTTTGGCTAACTTGTTGCTGGGCAGAGTAAAAAAAACATCAAAAAAGTGTCAAAACTGCACTAAATACGTTTACTGCAGTGTCCCTACTGAAGCCTATTAAACCAAAAACACAACATTTGCGTTAAAAAAAAAAAAAAAAAGTCCCTGACCCTTTCTAAAAACGCAGCAAAAAATGCATAGATGTGAACATGTTCTATAGGAACCCATGTTAAATGGATTGAAGTATGTTTCTGCAAAAAACTCTAAAAAATGTATTGGCATGAACCAGGCCTCCATGGGGAGGTGCACTTCTGGTTCTTTTTTTTTTTTTTTTTTTTTTTTTTTTTTTTTTTTTTTTTTTAATGACTAAAAATGTGGCAAGCAGGATTTTTAACGAACGCCACAAGGGAAGCACAACAGACCAGTGTAAAGATATACATTTGAATTTAAGGGGATACATTTATTTTGAGCTTTTCTTGAACTTTTTTTTTTTTTCTTTTTAAACTAATAAAGCGGTTCAAAAACTCAGTGTGAAAGCAGCCTATTAGCCAAAAGGTGCTGAAAATATATTAATATTCATTAAAAATTCATATTAACCACTTGCCCTCCAGAGGATTCCCCCCTTCCTGACCGGACCATTTGTTGCGATGTGGAGCTGCGTTACTTGAACTGATAATTGCGCTGTCATGCAACACTGTACATAGATAACATTTGTCATTTTTTTCCCCACAAATAAACCTTTTTTCTGCCTTTTTTTTTTTTTGCAGTATAAACAAAAAAAGACCGATAATTTTGAAAAAAAAATAAAACCATATTTTTGACTTTTTACTATTAAACATATCCATTAAAAAATCAAATTTCATCATAAATTTAGGACAAAATGTATTCTGCTCCATGTCTTTGCTAAAAAAAAATATATATATAAATATACATACACCAATAAGTGTATTACATTGGTTTACATGAAAGTTACAGTGTCTACGAATGGCGGTGTGTATATATACTGGAATTTATTTATTTTTTTCTATTAGTAATGGCTGCGGTCAGTGACTTATAGTGGGACTGTAGCGGACAGTCTGACACTGGGGGGGAACTAACTGCCAATGACACTAATACAGTGTTCAGGGCTAATAAAAAGCACTGACACTGTACTAATGGAACTGGGCAGGAAGGGGTTAACATCTGGGGCGATCAAAGGGTTAACTGTGTGCTGTTTTACATTATGTGCTGTGTGTGTGTTTTACTATGTAGACAGGCTGCTTTGTATTTCTCTGCTGTACAGAGAAATACAAAGCAGCATGTCCTTGCTGGCAGGAGAGAGACCTGTGTTGACACACAGGTCTCTCCCCTGCCAGTTTTACATGGCAATTGCCGGGTGCCGGCGGGGAATCTCTGGCCGGGACCTTGTGATTGACATCCCTAGCCACCAATGGCGGTGGGGGTAGGGAGGTGTACGCACTCCCGCTATACAGAATTGCAGATCACGTGTGTATATATACGTGATTTTGCGAAGCCCTGTAGCAGTAGTTTTACTATAGGGTGGAGGGTAAGCTGGTAATTAAAAAGTCTAATATAAATAATATATATATATAAACAAACTGTCCGTTTTTTTTTTTTTTTTTGGCCAAATGCATTGTGAAGTTTCGGCCCAGATTTTTAATTTTGGTGCACAACTGTTGTATCAGTTATTAGAGACATACCCGGTAGTCTCCTCCACATTGTTGGTTGCATTACCAGGTAATGGTCCAACACAAGACCGGAAAAAGGCCTTCACTAATAGGGAAGATGGGGCAGCCTTGATTATGTGACTGCGGGACCTGCCAAGGAGGGATTTTCAGTTGGGTAAATGGTTTCAGCTAGAAACCTTTAACCACTTCCAGAACTACTGCAACAGGGTGGCAGGGCTGCGCAAAATCACGTGTGTATATATACGTGATTTTGCATTTCCAGGTAGGGAGCACGCGCCACCATTGGTGGCTGCAGATGTCAATCACCGGGTCCTGGCCGGAAATTCCCCGTCGACACCCGGCGGTCGCCAAGTGTCACTGTCAGGGGAGAGATCTGTGTGTAAACAACACAAGTCAGTCTCTCCTGCCAGCAGTAACATGCTGCTTTGTATTTCTCTGCACAGCATGTCTCCTTAGTAAAGCACACAGTTAACCCTTTGTTCATCCCAGATGTTAACCCCTTCCTGCCCAGTGCCATTAGTACAGTGTCAGTGCTTTTTATTAGCACTGATCACTATTCGTGTCACTGGAAATGTGAGTCGTGTCCCCCCCCCCCCCCCCCCCCCCAGTGTCAGAATGACCGTTGCAGTCCCGCTATAAGTCACTGATTGCCACCATTACTACTATAAAGAAAAATTCCAGTCTCTATACCACCATTTGTAGACGCTAGAACGTTCATGTAAACCAATTAATTTACATGTATTGGGATGTTTTTTGTTACCAAAGACTAAATTTTGCCTAAATTTGATTTTTTTTTTTTTTTTTTTTTACTGGACATGTTTTGTAGCAAAAAGTCAAAAATATACTGGTTTTTTTTTTTCAAAATTGTCAGTCTTTTTTTTTTGTTTATAGCACATAAAATAAAAAATGCACAGGTGATCAAATACCACCGAAAAAGCCCTATTTGTGGGTAAAAAAGGGCGTAAATTTAATTTGAGTGCAGCATTGCATGACCCGCGCAATTGTCAGCCTCTTGCCTACCGGGCAGTTATACCCCCTTCCTGTCCAGGCCAATTTTCAGCTTTCAGCGCTGTCGCACTTTGAATGACAATTGCGCGGTCATGCAGCACTGTACCCATATTATTATTATACAGTATTTATAAAGCTCCAATAGTTCGCTCAGCGCTTTACATTACAAAGGGGGACAGAACATGTGACAGAACAATACCAATACAATGCAAAACATGAGGGGATCGAGGGCCCTGCTCTTTGGAGCTTACAATCTAGGAGGGAGGGGATGGTGGCACAGGAGGAGATAGCTGTGGGGGATGGAGTGGTGGGAAGAGTGGAGGAGGTCGGCAGGTTAGCAGAGGGTGGGGTAGGCTTCCCTGAAGAGATGGGTTTTCAGGGTGCGCCTAAAGGAGAGGAGAGTAGGTGATAATCTGATGGGTTGTGGCAGGGAGTTCCAGAGGATGGGTGACACCCTGGAGAAGTCCTGGAGGCGGGCATGGGAGGAGGAGACCAGGGAACTAGAGAGAAGGAGGTCTTGTGAGGAGCGGAGTGTGCGTGTTGGGCGGTACTTGGATATTAGGGTGATGTAGTTCGGGGCAGTATGGTGGACGGCTTTGTACGTCAGTGTTAGGATTTTGAATTTGATCCGTTGGGCAATCGGAAGCCAGTGGAGGGATTGGCAGAGGGGGGTGGAGGACACTGAATGGAGACCAGTGGAGGGATTGGCAGAGGGGGGTGGAGGACACTGAATGGAGACCAGTGGAGGGATTGGCAGAGGGGGGGTGGCGGAAACAGAGCAGTTGGAAAGGTGAATGAGTCTGGCAGCCGTATTCAGGATGGACTGAAGCGGGGATACCCAGCGGCGAGGCAGGCCAGTGAGGAGGGAGTTGCAGTAGTCGAGTCGTGATATGATGAGGGAGTGGATGAGCTGTTTAGTGGTTTCTGGGGTTAGGAACGTGCGGATTTTGGCGATGTTGCGGAGGTGGAGTCTGCATGAGTTACCATATGAAATTTTTTATAATTTTTTTTTTTCAAACAAATAGAGCTTTCTTTTGGTGGTATTTAATCACCACTGGGGGTTTTATTTTTTGCACTATAAACAAAAAAAGCAAAAAAGTTTTCTATTCTAAAATTTTGCAAATGGGTAACTTTTCTCCTTCACTGATGTGCATTGATAGGCAGCACTGCAGGGGCGGCATGGATAGGCGGCACTGATGGACAATGATGGGCAGCACTGGTGGGGGGCACTGCTGGGCACTGATCATCAGTGCCCTGATGATCTGTGCCAATCCATCCTCTGACAATTGCCGGTTATGGGGCAGTACTTTCCTCACACTGTGACAGCATGAGGAAAGTGCAGCCGATAACCTGCAACTGCATTTACCGATGATCTGCTGTGTCATTGGACACGGCTGATAATGTGTTTAAAAGGCCGCTGTGATTGGCCTTTTACCACATCGCGTGATCAGCTATGTCCATAGGACACAGCGTTCACGGAGATCGCCGGGGGCGTGCAGGAGGGCGTGTTCTGGTGTCACAGAACGCCCTCCCAGGACTGGACAGCCGCGCTGTAGCCGTCATTTGGCAAGTGGTTAAAGTGACGAAGCGCCATATCACAAAAAATGGCCTGGTCAGGAAGGGGGGTAAATCCGCTGGAGGGCGAGGGGGTATTAATTCCAGTGGGATTTACAAGAAGCAAATATAATGCTCTATGTTATCAAGCCAACAATGCAATGATTTTAATAAATACAAAAAAGTTCCTCTTCTGTGTTAGTTTAGTGTTCAGTTTGTAATCTAAAGGCAGATATAAAATGCACAAAATGTCTTTTTTTTCTTTTCAGCTTTTTCAACCAGGTTATTCTCCGTGTTGAGGTTTGAAAGTGTCATCCATGAGTTTGATCCGTAAGTTCACCAACGTTCCGTACTGGTAGAGGTGCTGGGTAGGACGTGGTGAGGTGTGACTGACTAGTACATAGAAGTTTGTATATAAAGATTAAAGGGACGGCTTGATGTTTTTATTCCACGCCCTGAACATAATACTCAGGAACTTTAATGAATGTCCTTTTGGTGTTTGAGGTCTGTTTATGGCCTTACCCTGGAGTAATAATCCCTCCACCCAGATATTTACTACTCTGGATTCTCACACTGGCTTCTCGTTGTATAGGGAGAGCTCAGCAATATGATCTACTTGTATAGTCGCAACACAAAAAAAAAAAAACTGCACAAGCTCTGGTACAGTCCCCTTTATCACTAATATGCGTGCATTCTAGCACATATTGGCATAGAACTTCCAGTGGCTCATTTGTTTGAAAAAAATAAAAAAATTGTTTAATTCCACTATTTAAGGTGTTACTAAATCCAACACTGTAAAATCAATCTGTAGATGCAGTAAAGTATGCTTGTTCTACTCACTGTGGAATCTAAGGGGTTAATCCTCTGCATTGTGTAAAAAGACTGTTTGATCCTGTCTTCTCTGATCCTCCCCTTTTTCTACTGTCCCCAATCCATGTCCTGATAGAACAGAGCCATGGGGGCAAGCTGCACATGTTCAGTTTGGTGTGTATTGCTTGAGAGTTTTTAATGAGCATTTCTAAAAGCTTTAGCCAGTGCTCTGCTAGACACGGATAGAAGTCACAAGACTCCCCTAACTGTTGATGAGAAAAGGTATTAAGCAGTTTATTTTTCCTGAAATAATTGCATTTCCATGTTCTGTGTACTGTGAGAGACCAGTGATGCAATTTGTTTACTCCTAGTGACCACCAAGCCTATGGCACTGTTTACTCCCACCGGTGTCAGGGCATTTTGTACTTCCCACTGGCCACAGTCCGGATCTCCCCGGACCCTGCTTTCACTGTATCGGCTCTCCCCGGACCCTGCATTTCCTATATCCGCTCTCTCCCCGGACCCTGCATTCACTATATCCTCTCTCCCCGGACCCTGCATTTCCTATATCCGCTCTCCCCGGACCCCGCATTCACTATATCCTCTCTCCCCGGACCCTGCAGTTCCTATATCTGCTCTCCCCGGACCCTGCAGTTCCTATATCTGCTCTCCCCGGACCCTGCAGTTCCTATATCTGCTCTCCCCGGACCCTGCAGTTCCTATATCTGCTCTCCCCGGACCCTGCAGTTCCTATATCTGCTCTCCCCGGACCCTGCAGTTCCTATATCTGCTCTCCCCGGACCCTGCAGTTCCTATATCTGCTCTCCCCGGACCCTGCAGTTCCTATATCTGCTCTCCCCGGACCCTGCAGTTCCTATATCTGCTCTCCCCGGACCCTGCAGTTCCTATATCTGCTCTCCCCGGACCCTGCAGTTCCTATATCTGCTCTCCTGCAGTACACAGAACATGCTAAATACCTTTTCTCATCAGCAGTATATAGCAGTCTTGTGACTTCTGTCGGTGTCCAGCTGAGCACTGGTTAAAGCTTGTAGCAGGAGTTTTCATTCTGCTCTGACTGTACTGTGAGGCAGTGCAACCCTTGGCCCTCTGTCTGTACAGTGCTGTTTGGCCCTGTGCTGATCACACGCACCTTCCCAATGAAAAAGAAAAACTCTAGCAATACACACTAAACTAAGCATGTGCAGAGTGACTCCTAGAGCTCCGTACGATCAGCAGATGGATTGGGGACAATAGAAAGGGAGTATCAAAGAAGACAGGATCAAACAGCCTTTTTAAAAAAAATGCAGAGGATTAACCCCTTAAGTTCCACAATGAGTATAACAAGCATGCATTACTGCAAATACAGACCTATTGTACTATTGTGGGTTTAGTAACACTTTAAAGTGGAATTAAACAATATTTTTTTTTTCAAATAAATGAGCCACTGGAAGTTCTGTGCCAGTATGTGCTAGCATGCGCCGCATATTAGTGCCTTGGGCAGCACAGTGGCTAAATGGTTAGCACTTCCGCCTGGCAATATTAGGGTCATTGGTTCGAATCCTAACCACGGCACCACCTGCCTGGAGTTTGCATGTTCTCCCTGTGCGGGTTTCCTCCGGGTACTCCGGTTTCCTCCCACACTCCAAAGACATGCTGGTAGGTTAATTGGATCCTGTCTAAATTGGTCCTAGTATGTGTATGTATGAATGTGAGTTAGGGACCTTAGATTGTACACCCCTTGAGGGTTAGGGACCTTAGATTGTACGCCCCTTGAGGGTTAGGGACCTTAGATTGTACACCCCTTGAGGGTTAGGGACTGATGTGAATGTACAATATATATGTAAAGCGCTGTGTAAATTGACGGCACTATACAAGTACCTGAAATAAATAAATTATAGCAGACTTGCCTTTCAAACTATATCTCCAGCGCTCTCTGCTAGTCATGGGCACTTCCATCTTCTCCTGGTCTTCCTTCCTAGTTCTGTCTGGTCGGCCGCTTGAGTGGCTGGGCCACAATGACATCAGTCCCGCGCATGCCCACAAAAGTCACATCACCCCAAAGAGGTGGAGCTGTAAATAGTCTCTTCTGTCATAAATAAACTCTGATTTTTGGCTTTTTGGAGTTCAGTTCTACTTTAATAAAATGTAATTTATTACATTTTGAGAATTCTAATTAAAAAAAAAAAAATATATAAAACCGTAAACTGCGCTATGCATCTGGATCGGCACTTCGGCACAGAGTCTTATCCGTTGACGCCAGAGGCTATGCGGTCAGCACAGTGACTAGTGTGACTCGGCCCAGATTGTTCAGCTCTACTCCAACTTTAAGCTGCGCCTTCGTCTTATTGTTTTTGAGAATTGATCCCCCGTTTCCTGCATTTCAGGTACTTTAACTACCGGACCACAAGGTTTCTGGCAGAGGAAGGCTTTTACAAGTTCCATAACTGGTTCGATGACCGTGCCTGGTATCCGCTAGGGAGGATTATAGGGGGAACGATCTATCCAGGTATGTTGGGTCAAGGCGTTGGACCTAAAGACTGTGCTTGATGACTTGGCCTTGACCCAGCTTATGTCTTTGGTACGTTGCATCTGTTATGTTCTGGCATCCGATGGAAGACGGTATAATTGTTGTATTGGCTCTTCTTTAGGTTTGATGATCACATCAGCAGCATTTTACCACATTCTGCACTTCTTTCACATCACCATCGACATTCGAAATGTATGTGTGTTCCTGGCTCCTCTCTTCTCCTCCTTCACCACCATTGTTACCTACCACCTCACCAAAGAGCTAAAGGTAAGTTTGCTACGTTATAGGGGCAGAGACGAACCTCTGTGACTGCACGGAGAAGCGCAGAGTCTGCAGGAGGAGTTCTGTCCTTCTCCTGCTGCTGACTGTTGAGATGAGGGGGGGGTGCCGCAGCTGCGGGAGAGGTATGGGGGCCACATAGAATGCCATGGCGGGCCAGATTTGGACCTTGGGCCTTGTGTTTTGACACGTGGTGTAGGCCGTTAACAAACCTTGAAGCCTGGTCAAAAAAACTCCCAGAGGTGGCATCATTCTATTCCGCCTGGTTGCTAGGACTTGTTGGACTAGAATCCACGGAATTTATAGGCACCACAGTACACTTCTTTGTTTATAAAATTACAAAATGTTTATTAGAACATGATTAACCTCTTTGCGCCGGCCGGCCGCAAATGTGCAACCTCCCGGCATCTGGGCCTAGACATCGAACGGCCGCACATTTTGCGTTCTATTAAAAAAACATATGTGCTGAGAGCGTGTGCCCTGCGCGCTCCCAGCACACATGTTCAGTATTCACAGAAAGGTCCCGATCTCCTCTTGCGATCGGGACCTTTCCCGAACATGTGACAGCAAATCTCGGCAGTCACATGACCCTAAAACCCCACCCGCCTCCCGACTTCTGAAACCCTTAAAGGCCCGGGAGGCGCCGGGTGCCAAGGTGTTAAATGCTTCCGTGCCGCCCTATAGCAGAAATACTGCTACAGGGCGGCATGGGTGCACAAAATCACGTATATATACCTGCTCCAGATATAGTGGGAGGGCAAGCGGGGATCTAATTTTGACATGTACCCACTCCTACTTCTGCTTGGATTGCCCAGCATTCCCCCCCCACAGTCTCCTGAGACACAGCACAGGTCCCAAAAGACCGCAGAAGCAATCACAGTGCACGTCTTGCGGTCACCCCACTGTGAAGCCGCACACTGTCACAGCTAAGATGCCAGGGACTAAAGACGGTACCCGGCGCCCTCTCACGTGAGCACACAGGTTTTTTTTGTAGCTGCTGACTTTTAATTGTTACAAAAACCACTGGAGGTTTGCTTTAAGATCTGGGATTCAGGGAACCATTTAGGCCTCATGTACACATGAACTCTCCTGGCAGCGGTACTGCGTTTAGCGCTTGGACGTTTATTCATTTGATTGGTCAGAGTATTTTCCATTGACATGGATAAACGCCCAAGCACTAAACATGGCTAGCGTTAAGACACGTTTAGCCGCGTTTACAGGCATTTTTGCCGCGTTTTGGCCAAAACATTTCTCTCCTGAACGTGATTATTCTACGTTCAGAAGAGGAACGTTTAACTGCCCCTAAACTGGTAAAAGCCTGTGTGTACATAGACTTTGACTGAGTTTAGTTCAGGGGCTTTGGCAAAAAAAAAACGCCAAAAGCTCCTAAACGCACGTTTATGATCAGCAGTGTACATGAGGCCTACGTTTGTTGGAAGTGAGGATAGTTTTAGTCGCGTATACGGAGGTGGCCAGTGTCTGAATGATGAGGGTTTCCTTGTTTTCTCCAGGATGCTGGTGCTGGTCTGTTAGCAGCAGCAATGATCGCTGTCGTTCCAGGCTACATCTCCCGTTCTGTGGCTGGATCGTATGATAATGAAGGTAACCAGGAAAATTTTAGATCTTAAAAACTCGAAGTTTCAATGTCTTGAATATCTGTTCTCTTCATGTTTTGTTGCTTCTTCACCCTGCCCAGGTATAGCCATTTTCTGCATGCTTCTGACATACTACATGTGGATCAAGGCCGTGAAGACTGGCTCCATCTACTGGGCAACCATGTGTGCCCTGGCCTATTTTTACATGGTGAGCCTGACACCCTGGTAATCTGTATATTTCTTCCTTGCCAAGAACGCAAGTGAGAAGATGTTTGATGATAACCTTTTCTGATGGTTTACAGGTTTCGTCCTGGGGAGGTTATGTGTTTTTGATCAATCTGATCCCCCTTCACGTCCTTGTCCTGATGCTGACTGGCCGCTTCTCCCATCGGATCTATGTAGCGTACTGCACTGTGTACTGTCTGGGCACCATCCTGTCTATGCAGATTTCCTTTGTTGGATTCCAGGTATGTTTCTTGCATGCATTCTTGGATGTGTTAGGACTAGTTCACAATATCACAGTAGCTGTTGAGGGACAGTAAATCCCAGCAGATGAGATGTGTTTTTAGCACCCGCTTCCCCCCCCCCCCCCCCCCCCCCCACACCCCTCCACCCAAATGTTCCATCTTTAGCTGCAGTGGCCGGAGGTGTACACTTGCCATGGCAGGAATTCTACCCCTCGTCGCTTTCACTCAAATGAATGGGGCTGTTCTGAATTTGTGCCTCGCTACCGAGGGATTCAGAGGGTTAAAGCAGACAGAAGGCAGTTCAGTACCTCCTCAACTGCATGTCAAATGCTCTCTGCAGTGCGATCCAAATGTGTATCACTCTTCAGAGAAAAGAGCATGTGTGGACAAGCCCTAAGTGATTCTTCATCCAAGATTCACTGGAACATTTAAATATAGTGTGTGTGTGTATGTATGTAAACATGTGTGTTATATATATATATATATATATATATATATATATATATATATATATATATATATATGGCAGCACAGTGGCTAAATGGTTAGCACTTCCGCCTGGCAGTACTTGGGTCATTGGTTCGAATCCCAACCACTGCACCACCTGCCTGGAGTTTGCATGTTCTCCCTGTGCCTGTGTGGGTTTCCTCCAGGTACTCCGGTTTCCTCCCACACTCCAAAGACATGCTGGTAGGTGAATTGGCTCCTGTCTAAATTGTCCCTAGTATGTGTATGTATGAATGTGAGTTAGGGACCTTAGATTGTACACCCCTTGAGGGTTAGGGACCTTAGATTGTACGCCCCTTGAGGGTTAGGGACCTTAGATTGTACGCCCCTTGAGGGTTAGGGACCTTAGATTGTACGCCCCTTGAGGGTTAGGGACCTTAGATTGTACGCCCCTTGAGGGTTAGGGACCTTAGATTGTACCCCCCTTGAGGGTTAGGGACCTTAGATTGTACGCCCCTTGAGGGTTAGGGACCTTAGATTGTACGCCCCTTGAGGGTTAGGGACCTTAGATTGTACGCCCCTTGAGGGTTAGGGACTGATGTGAATGTACAATATATATGTAAAGCGCTGTGCAAATTGACAGCTCTATATAAGTACCTGAACACACACACACTATATATATATATATATATATATATATATATATATATATATTACGTGTGTGTATATTGGAGTTGGTCTATAATGGATTATAGTATTCCCCGTCATTGAGAGGTTCTAGTTAATGCAGATCTGCAATGTTTGTTTTAAAGGAAAAGTAGGGCCAAAGCTCTTTTGACTCTACTTCTCCTGTAGTAAGCGAGATACCCCCAAAAAAGAGTGGGTTTGTACAGGCAACACAAAAACAAGTACTGAGGTAAAATAAAACAAAATTGTATTACAATACCTAAAAGACACACGATGTCATTGGTAAAAAGCAAAAGACAAAATGATATCACATTGCATGGCTACAGTTATTTGAAAGATCCGGTATAACCAGCCTGTGAGGAATAAGAAATTGTCCTCATCTTAATGGAATATCATCAGTAGAACACCCGACGTGTTTCGGATCGCTCTTTCATCAGGGGTGAGTATTTTGGTTTTTTGGATCAGGTGCAGCCATATCAAACGTGGAATACGTCTGTCATTGCCTATTGGTACAGACACGGGGATTCCATGAACTACGTGCACCCAGCCCAGGCTCTCTCAGCCCGGTTTCACACTGATGCTGTGCAGAATTGACACTTTTTTCTGTGCAAATTCCGCACCACATCAAAATCGCACACTGTTCATGCAAACCACTGTGGGTGTGTATGTTAACACCCCAAAACGCTGTGCGATGTGCAGAATCTGATCGCATAGGTGTGTATACCCATGCAATCCGATTCTAGTGCAGACAAAAAAAAGGGTCCTGCTACTTTTTAGTGCGGATTCGGTGCGATTTGAGCCATACAAATTGCACAGCACAGAAATCACATGTGATTTGCACAGGAATGCGGTGTGGTTTCTGTGCAAATCACATGCGATATGCCACACCGCAGAAGTGTGAATCCAGACTCACACTGAGACCGCAAGCAAGGGGGAAACAGAGATCCCAACCCAAAATTAGGCAGATTATTCCATGAAGAACGGGACCCACTTCCAAAACAAAATATATTAAAAAACCACAAGATTCAAGCAGAAAAATGTATGTCTGGTGCCCTTTGAAACAGACGTTTGTGGTAATATGTCCTGTGGATGCCAAGTGATACTTCTCCTGTAGGTCAGTTTGTTCTGCACCCCTGTGACCTGGATTCAGCCGACTGCGAGGTGACAACACTCAGCCGGTCCAGACTTTGGAGGGATCCTGATTTGAATGTCGGGATCCACCCAGATGCCTAACAGACAGCTGGCTCAGCCTCTCAGCAGATGCTCCCGCCCTCTGCACAGCCCTACACTCCAGTGAAAGCTGGAGGGACAGAGCAGAGAACAGTGACTGACAGTCACTGCTCTCTGCTCAGTGAAGACCAAGAACTGAGCGATCAGCTGTCATGTGATCACCCAGTCTTAGGGGCAGCAGGGGACAAATGCAGCTTCAGAGCAATGCTGCATCCACCTAGGTGAGTATAAATGTTTGTATTTCTTCAAGACCTATACTTCTCTTTTAATCTTGAAATTCAAAACATAGTGACATTTTTTTATTTTTATTATTAGAACAGTTCATTAAAATATTAGAGTGCCGATTCTTTTTCTTTCTTTGGTAACTTAATGTAATCTATAGGCTTTTTCTTTCCACAGCCTGTCCTGTCCTCTGAGCACATGGCGGCTCTGGGTGTGTTTGGATTGTGTCAGATCCATGCATTTGTGGATTACTTGAGGAGCAAACTGAACCCCCAGCAATTCGAGATCCTCTTCAGGAGTGTCATCTCACTGGTGGGATTTATCCTGCTGACTGGAGGGGCCGTTCTCATGCTGACAGGTAGGAGATTGTGAAATTTTGTCAGAATGACCCTCATGTATGTGAGAAAGTCTCAAATGGACTTCTAATACACTGGGATTTTACAGACAGAAAAATTAATTGATATTTCAGCATACTTTGGTTACTTCTTGGTGTCCTTGAGAAGACTTATAGTGGTTATAAGCCCTTCCATACACCCAGTGAAGTAACTGGCCTCAGGTGATACACAGAGATGAAACAAATCATCCTACATACGTTGTACCTGTTTATCTGCCGTCTTCTCTCTACATCCATTCAAACTCCAGAATTTTTAAAGCCTGTCTGAGTGTCAGAAAAAAGATGACAGAGTTGAAATTACACACTGCAGAGCTCAGTGAAGAGAAAGCTGATTGGAGGGAAAGGACACCCCCCCTTCCACAGAGCTAAGGCTGCCAGTCTGCTGGAGGTCCCTCCCTTGTCACCATTTTTCTCTTGGTGACAGGAAAATTTGCTATCAGCTTGAATCACTTCTGACAGAGGAGGGAGGCAGCAGAAATGACACTCAGTGCTCTGGATTCTACATACATATTCTAGAGGGATATGCTTTGTTCATATTTGAGGTTTACAACCACTTTAAAGCCTAACTCCAAGTTGACTGTTTCTTTCAACTAGTTAGTTTGTGCCAAGCTAGCCAAACAAACTATTTGCTACCCTACTGGCTGGTTGCGCTGCATAAACTGTATGTAGGTTCGGCTGCATACTGAATACAGTGCTGCGTTCCAGCGGTGGGAAGGGACCTTCCCATCCCACTTACGTAACAAAATAGTCGGGTTGAATACTGCTCAGCCATTGCTAGGCAGCTTTGTCTCTGAATACAACGCTTCCTCTGGCTGAGGCCGAGATCATGAGGTTATCTGCCCGCCTCTCCACCTCAACCATTCAGAGAAAACAAAGCTGCCTATGAATTGCTGAGCAGCGCTCAACCCCACTCGTTTGTTTCAGTAGTGGGACAGGTAGTTCCCGTCCCTCTGCAAGGAACACAGTGCTGTATGTTTTATGTAGCTGATGCTACTTACAGTTTTACAGCTCGCCCAGCAGACGCACCTGTTAGTATAGAAAATGGTTCCAAGGTGGCCCAAACAAGCTAGGTAAAGGAATATTCACCTCTGTGCTGTGCACAGCCATGCAAAGCAGTGTGCTGGAGCTGACAGGGAGAGAACTGTTTTGTTTATGAACAGTCCTAGCCACCCCCTCCATCACAGATCTTTGGCAGTCTCCGGGCACTGGGGAGTAATCACCTGCCGGGACCCGGTGATTGACAGCACGGCCGAGAATGGCGGTGCAGGTAGGGCTCGTGTGCACCCCCTACCCGGAAATGCAAAATCACGTATAGATACGTGATTTTGCACAAAGGTGCCGCTCTGTAGCAGTATTTCTGCTTTGGGGCGGAGCTGAACCGGTTAAGTTGTGCACACATGGTGAGCTATGTCCCTCAGACACGGCTCAAAACAAATCGGGGTAACGAGCCAATGATGTTTGCTCTTTGCTGTGTGATCAGCTGTGTCTAATCACAGCTGATCACATTTAAACAAATATTGGTTATCAGCATTTCCTTTCCTCAGCTGCTGCCACAGCACTGAGGAAAAAAAAGCCGATAACCAGCTTTCCTGTGATAGGGGACATTTACCCTGGTAATTAGGGCACTGATAATCCGTTCCATGAATGTCAGTGCAGCCCCATCAGTCCAGCATATATCCGTGCCAAAAAGTGGCCCGTCGGTGCAGCCTCGTCAGCGCCCGTCGGTGCAGCCTCGTCAGCGCCCGTCGGTGCAGCCTCGTCGGAGCCCGTCGGTTTGTAGTTTTCTTAGTTTGTTTTATAACAAACTAAGAAAACATTTTTTGTTTTTCTTTCAAAATTTTAAATCTTTTTTTCGTTTAGCAAAAAATGAAAAACCAACCCCAGTGATGGTTAATTATCACCAGAGGAAAGCTCTGTCTCAAAAAAATGCTAAAAATGTCAGTGTTGCATGACCGCTTAATTGTCGTTTTAAAGTGAGACAACATTGAAAGCTGAAAAGTGACCTGGATAGGAAGGGGGTGAAAGTGCCTGGTATTGAAATGGTTAAACATGGAGTTAGGCTTTAAGATATGAGAGACATCTGGTGATAGAATCAGGATTAGTTGGCAGGATTCATGTACAGACGATTGGAAATGGGATTTATTGTATAACGTATAACTTACTGCTTTTTTGTTGATATTTTATTACTTCTTTAATAGGTAAAATCTCTCCGTGGACTGGCCGTTTTTATTCCCTCCTGGATCCGTCTTACGCCAAGAACAATATTCCTATCATTGCGTCCGTTTCGGAACATCAGCCAACCACCTGGTCCTCTTACTACTTTGACCTGCAGCTCCTTGTGTTCATGTTTCCAGGTTAGAGAAATGCTGCGCTCTTTACTCCGTAAACAGAAACAAAACCGGGAAGGCTTGCTGAACTGCATTGTGTTCTTCTTTCCCTTGTAGTGGGTCTGTATTACTGCTTCAGTAATCTGTCTGATGCCAGAATATTCATCATCATGTATGGTGTCACCAGTATGTACTTCTCCGCTGTCATGGTAAGAACTATGTCCAGGCCTATAACATAATGATTCCTGACTAGGCCATTTTTTTTGCTGTTCGGAACTGTGCTATTTCAACTGGTAATTGCGCAGTCGTGCAGTGCTGTACCCAAACTAAATGTATGTCCTTTTTTTCACACAAATAAGTCCCAAAAATTTTGAAAAAAAGTTTTTTTTTAATAAAATTTTGCAAATAAAATAATATTTCATCATAAATCTTGGCAAAATTTATTCCGTTATTTTTTTAGTAAAAAAAAAATCCAAATTAGTTTATAACCAAAAATGATAATTTTTAAACATTTTTTTTTTACATTTTTATTTTATTTTTTTTATATTATTTTTTATTTATTTTATTTTTTTTTACATACTGTCACCCTAGCAGTACAGTGTCACCATGGTGACACTGTACTACTTGTGGGGGGGGGGGGTGATGAAGATTTTTTTTTTTTTTTTTTTTACACAGATTGCTTTTACACCCATATAGGATGTAAAAGCAATCATTTCTCTTTCTCTCTGTCTGCATTCTTGCAGTCATTGAGAATTACTGAGTGAGCTGTGAGTGGTCACAGCTTGTCACATGGTACAAGGCTGTTGTGAATAGCCTTGTACCATGTGACCTCTGTGATCATTCACAGATTTCACACGTAGTAAGCAATGATGTCACAAGTGACATCTTGCTTACTACTTTGCATGTGATCACTGATTCGCCAATCAGTGATCACATGATCGGGACCTCGTACAGAGGTCCCATCCGACGATCGGTGTTTCACTGTGTCCGGAGGACCGATCGCGGTGCTGCGCGCTCCCAGGGAGCGCGCACAGCTAGAAAAGGCGGGTGCAGTTTATGAACGGCAACCCGCCCCTGGACTACCACCGCCCTGCCGTTTATAAACAGCAGGCGGACGCCAAGAGGTTAAAGTGAGACAACATTGAAAGCTGAAAAGTGACCTGGATAGGAAGGGGGTGAAAGTGCCTGGTATTGAAATGGTTAAACATGGAGTTAGGCTTTAAGATATGAGAGACATCTGGTGATACAATCAGGATTAGTTGGCAGGATTCATGTACAGACGATTGGAAATGCGATTTTATTGTAGAAAGTATAACTTACTGCTTTTTGTTGACATTTTATTACTTCTTTAACAGGTAAAAAATTCTCTCCGTGGACTGGCCGTTTTTATTCCCTCCTGGATCCGTCTTACGCCAAGAACAATATTCCTATCATTGCGTCCGTTTCGGAACATCAGCCAACCACCTGGTCCTCTTACTACTTTGACCTGCAGCTCCTCGTGTTCATGTTTCCAGGTTAGAGAAATGCTGCGCTCTTTACTCCGTAAACAGAAACAAAACCGGGAAGGCTTGCTGAACTGCATTGTGTTCTTCTTTCCCTTGTAGTGGGTCTGTATTACTGCTTCAGTAATCTGTCTGATGCCAGAATATTCATCATCATGTATGGTGTCACCAGTATGTACTTCTCCGCTGTCATGGTAAGAACTATGTCCAGGCCTTTAACATAACGTAATGATTCCTGACCAGGCCATTTTTTTTGCTGTTCGGAACTGTGCTGTTTCAACTGGTAATTGCGCAGTCGTGCAGTGCTGTACCCAAACTAAATTTATGTCCTTTTTTTCACACAAATAGTGCTTTCTTTTGGCGGTATTTGATCACCTCTGCAGTTTTTTTTATTTTTTTGTGATATAAACAAAATAAGTCCGAAAATTTAAAAAAAAAAACAGTTTTTCAATTTTGGTTATAAAATATATCCAGCAAACCCATGCCCTATAGTAGAAGTACTGCTACAGGGCGGCAGGGCTGCGCAAAATCGTGTGTGTGTATATATACGTGATTTTGCATTTTCAGGTAGTGGACTTGTGCGAGCCCTACCCCCACCGCCATTGGCTGCCAAGGGCTGCGAAAAATCGTCGTGTGTGTGTGTGTGTGTGTATATATATACGTGATTTTGTATTTTCAGGTAGGGGGCTTGTGCGAGCCCTACCCCCGCCGCCATTGGCTGCCTCGGCTGTCGATCACTGGGTCCCTGTTGGCACACGGCGATCACCAAATATCACTGACAGGGGAGAGACCTGTATGTAAACAATACAGATCTCTCCCCTGTCAGCTCCTGCACACCGCTTTGTATGGCTCTGCATAGCAAAGCCATACAAAGCAATGTGCTTACAGTGTAAAACACGGCAAAACGTTAGCCTTTTGATCACCCCAGATGTTAACCCCTTCCTGCCCAGCGCTATTAGTACAGTGACAGTGCTTTTTATTAGCACAGCTCACTGTATTGCTATCACTGGGGATGTGAGTGACACCAAGTCAGTTCCCTCCAGTGTTAGATTGCCCGCCGCAGTCCCTCTATAAGTCGCTGATTGCCACCATTACTAGTAAAAAAAAAAAAAAAATTCCAGTATATATACCGCCATTTGTAGATGCTATAACTTTCTTATAAACCAATTTACACGTATTGGGATTTTTTTTTTTTTTTTTTATTGGACATTTTTAATTGCAAAAAGTCAAACATTTTTTTAAATTATTTTCTCAAAATTGCCATTTTTTTTTTTTTTTTTTTGTTAAAAAAAATAAAAACCGCAGAAGCGATCAAATACCACCTAAAGACAGCTCTATTCGTGGAGAAAAAGGGCATAAATTTGGGTGCAGTGTTGCATGACTGCACAATTGTCAGTTAAAATAACAGCAGCACCGTCTCACAAAAAAATGGCCTGGTCAGGAAGGGGGGTAAATCCTCTGTGGGGCAAGTGCTAAAGGCTTGTTGATGTTATACATCAATGGATACGTTGAAATTGATCCCTTTTTCCATACAGGTGCGTCTGATGCTGGTGTTGGCCCCAGTTATGTGTATTCTGTCCGGTATTGGGGTATCTCAGGTGTTGTCTACGTATATGAAGAACCTTGATATAAGCCGTCCTGATAAGAAAACAAAAAAACAACAAGATTCAACGTATCCAATTAAGAATGAGGTATGTTTTTCTGACATATGGTTAATTCAATATTTTAAAAGGTGTCTTGGAAATATTATATATATGCAACTTCTATTGTAATAATGTCAGTGGTTCCAAATTAATAAGTACTGCAGTAGGGAGCAAACGCCAGAAGGTACTCAGCATCTTTGTAACTATATGTTGTTTGGTGCACTTGGGTTTTTATTTTTTTTTTTTTTAACCTGCTTACATAAGAATCACAGTAATATTATCATTGTAAGTGGCTTTAGGAATGTATGTGCTAGAAAAGTTAGGATAATGCCGCCGACTATACATGCTATCGTCTTTAAGTGCCCGGTCATACCAGTGCGATTTGCGAATTGAAATCGCATCTAATAAATGTGAATGTCAGTGTCTTAACATGTGCGATTTGCTGCAGTGCGATTTCTACAGTAGTTCTTGCGTTACGTTTTTTGCAGTTTTGTTGCAATTTCACATACATAAAATATAATAGAAATTGCACTGCAAATTGCAAGAAATCGTTGAAAATTTTCACAAGTAGCAATAAAGTCTTCAGAAATCGCACCTAATATTGCACACAAATCAGTTACATAGTCTGGCTGAAAAAAGACAAAAGTCCATCCAGTTCAACCATTTAAAAAAAAAAAAAAAAAAAAAAAAAAAGTTATAATCCTACACCCACAGTTGATCCAGAGGAAGGCAAAAAAAACCCCAGCAAAGCATGATCCAATTTGCTGCTTCAGCGAAAAAAATTCCTTCCTGATCCCCCGAGAGGCAATCTTATATTCCCTGGATCAACTTTACCTATAAATGTTATATCCGGTTATATTCTGTGTATCTAAGAAAGAATCCAGGACTTTCCTACAGCAATCCACTGAGCTGGCCACAATTAACTCTTGAGGGAGTCTATTCCACATTTTTACAGCTCCACTGCGCTACTTTAAATTGCAGCGGTGTGACTAAAGTAGAAGTATAGCCAAGGCTATTTTCACAGTTCATTCTGCACTCCTGTGACCCGTTTTCAGCCAACGGTGGGTTAAAGCACACCGTCAGCTGATGTCACAGAGCAAGTGTAGACCTTGGAAATATCCAGACAATATAATCAGGATCTGCCTAACAGCCCAAGCCAACAGCTGTCTCAGCCTCTCAGTAGACACCACTGGGAGACTGAGCCAGCCGCTCCCGTCCCCACCACAGCCCACCACTTCAGTGAGCATTGGAAGGGCAGAGCAGAGAGCCGGTAACCGGCAGTTACAGCTCTCTGCTCCGAGTTCAGTGCAGAGCTGATGGGGGACAGATGCAGCATCGGATCTATGCTGCATCCACCTAGGTGAGTACATATTTTATATTTTATTTTTCCACAACCCCATACTTCTCTTTTAACCTGGAATAATAGTATAGCATGGTGTTTTCCTAAAGTGTGTCCCCTTGATGATACAATCCTCCTTGTGGGGTGGTATTTTGCTCAGCCAAAAAGTTAAAGTGAACCTGAACTTAAAATTCAAAGATTTCTCATCTTATAGGAATATCCAGAAAACATAACTGTGTCTAAGCAGTGCCCTGAAAAAAGTGACCTTTTGCCTTGAGTTCCTCCAAAAATATAACAGTGTAGTTTCTTTGCCTAGACGCCCATAGCTGTGTGTCCGCAGTGTGAACTCCTCTAAGGCACTGTGCTTCTTACTGCCAGTTTGCATGACATTTGGTGATATCAGTACTGAGCTGCTTGCTGGAGAGGAAGCTGTTTCCAAGGACCTCTAGTGCAAGGATCTCCCTGCTTTTGATTAATCTGTTAAGGGGATCTGTGCTTTCTGATCCACTTACAATGCTTCTTGAATTGTATCACACTAGACTTATTCATTAAAAAAGTAAGAATAGATTAATAGAATATTCCTTATTATAAAATGTCACTTAGACTACTTTGTGCTACTTTGGAATACATTTTTTGATTTTTCCTGTTCTGTTTATTCCACAATTTGAAAGCACTTGTCACAAGCATTCTGTTTATTTCTCATCGGTGGTTGGATTCCTTCCTGTGTTCTAATGCAGACCTCTTTTTTTTTTTTTGACTGACAGGTTGCCAGTGGTATGATCATGGTCATGGCTTTCTTCCTGGTCACCTACACATTCCATTCCACTTGGGTCACCAGCGAAGCGTATTCTTCCCCTTCTATCGTGTTGTCTGCACGTGGCGGGGACGGGAGCCGGATTATCTTTGATGATTTCAGAGAAGCCTACTATTGGCTGCGACACAACACGCCAGAGGTGAGGGGTGGTACTCTGGTATGGATTGATGCTTTTGTGGTGTGGAAAAAGAAAGGGAGTTTGAACACTCATTGTAAAATATTCAGCGGGAAAAAAATACACTTTCCCTTTTTAAGCTTTTATTGGCATTAGGTTGTGACAGATGATATGTTGGATATGTCAGCACAATTATTATTAAATATATACAGGATTTATGGCGCCAACAGTTTGCTCAGCTCTTTACAATATAATGGGAGACAATACAGCAACAATACAAGAGGGTTAGGAGGGCCCTGATCCTGGGAGCTTACAATCTAAGAGCACAATACGCTACTAAAAGATTTTACACTTAGCAAAATCATGGTTTGTTGGGCTTCGTAAATAAAATAAAACTATGTTCACTTCAATGAACCAATCATGTGCTATTAATAATCCTGCTTTTACTTCCTTGCATGAATGGGTATTTAAAGTGATATTAAAGATTGTTTTTTTTTTTGTTATACTTGCCTGTTCTCAATCGTTTTGCACAGAGCAACTCCAGTCCTCCTCTTCTTGGGTCCCCTACGGGTGCTCCAGGCCTGTCCTCCCTGCCTAGTTCCCTGCTATGGGAGCTCCCTAGCTGCTCTGTATGTCCATTCACAGTCCCCGCTATCTCCTCATTGGCTGTGATTAACAGTAGCCAATGGCTACCGCTGCTGTCTCAGCCAATGAGGAGGAAGAGACCTGGGAGAGGCTCTCTTGCACATCGCTGGATCGAGGGGGAGCTCGGGTAAGTATTAAGGGGAGCTGCACCTAGGTTTTTTATTTTCATGCATAAATGTATGAAGGTAAAAAAATATTTGAGCCTTTACAAATACCTGGAATTCATCTTTAAACAGTTACATTGGTCAAAGCTGGATATACCATACCTGACCAATGCTCCTTAATCGGAGTTCTACCTGAAAAAAACAAAAAAATAAAAAATAAAAGTCAGCAGCTTACAAAAACTGTAGCTGCTGACTTTTTAAAATACAGACACTTACCTGTGCCCACTGTGCATGCTAGGAGAAGCGCTGTGCTTAGTGACTGTGCTTAGTGAATGGCCCCGTCTTCTGGGACCGGTCACGTGTCCCAGAAAACTACTACGGGGAGGGAGGGGGGAGGACAAGTTCCACTTCCGATCGCCTAGGCGATCACAGCGGAAGTGGGAGCGGGTACCTGTCAAATTCGGGTACCCGCTCCCCAAAGGTGCCAATCCTTAATGGGAAGCAGGGGGACAAAGGCTTAAAGCAGAACTTCCCCTTTTGGGTGGAGCTCCGCTTTAATGAATGCAAGCTTTGATGTCACCGCTCCACCTCTCTGCCTTGTCCAAACAGAGAGCGCTTTTCATTCATTCAGAAAATGCAAATTATTCTCTGAAGGACGCGCATGCCGAGCAGACGACGACCTGTATTTTGTTCTCCATGCACCAGGCTGGCCACTCCTAGCGGTGCTGCTAGCGTTGTCTGCTTCAGCAATTTCCAGCTTCCAGGGGCTTCGGCCAGGTATGGTATATACATAGCTACATTGATCCAAGCTAGCCCAATGTAACCATGTACAAAAGAAAATGCCTGCCTAGAATTCTTTAAAACAGCACAAGTTCGGCTTATTTACCATTATTTGCTTTACTAACATAAGTGACTGTACACTTGGAAAAGGTATTGTTCAATTTGGTTTAAAAAAAAAAAAAAAAAAGTTTTCTTCACCTAAAGGAGAAGTAGGGCCAAAGCTCTTAGTTGTGCACCCCTGTGACCTGCTTTGAGCCAACCGTGGGCTAAAGCCCACTGTCGGCTGACGTCACGGAGACGGTCCAGGCTCTGCAAAGATCCCTACAATGTTGTCCGTATCCACCAAGAAGCCTGACCTGCAGCAGGCTCCCCCACCCCCTCCACAGCCTGGCGCTACATTGAGTGCTGGAGGGGGCTGTGCAGAGAGCCAGTGACTGACAATCAGCAGCTCACTGAAGACAGAGAACTAAACAATGTGTTTGATCGCTCTTTTCTCGTTCTGGGAGGCAGTGGGGGAACAGCTACAGCATCGGGCCAATGCTACATCCAACTGAGTATGACTGACTGTTTTAGGGGTTAAAGAAACAAAAAAAAAAAAAAATCCTGGTTTTTATGCCCTTCCTGCTTTGTTGGGTATTCAAAGTGAATGCGTATTTGCTATCATTCACTTTGTAAGGTGTACAATCTCTCTACTCCTTTAGTAAATCAACACCTATGGCTTTGGCAATCACTGAATTTATAGCTAATTTGCTGTGTTGTCTTTGTCTTTTCAGGATGCTAAAGTCATGTCATGGTGGGATTACGGGTACCAGATTACAGCGATGGCCAATCGAACAATTCTAGTGGACAATAACACTTGGAATAACACGCACATTTCCAGAGTGGGCCAGGTGAGTTATGTGCTGTTACATGGACTCTGTTTAGTCTCTTATGGGAAGTGGGTAAGCTGTCAGTTATAGGGGTTTATTTACTAAAACTGGAGAGTGCAAAATCTGGTGCAGCTCTGCATGGAAACCAGTCAGCTTCCAGGTTTTATTGTCAAAGCTTAATTGAACAAACTAAAGTGTTATGATTGTCTAGTGTGGTGATATTCAAGAAACAGAAGTGGATCAGAAAGCACAGATCCTCTTAACCTCCCTGGTGGTAATCCCAAGTGTGACTCGGGGGTTAAATTTCAGTACCAAAAAGCAGTAACCCCGAGGATTACTCTATAGCGCTTCTCCTGTGATCCCCGATGTCCTCCCGCTGTGTCCTCCAGCCATGTCCTCCGGTCGATGCTGGCATCCGTCTTTCCGGTTCCCTTCCCTACGAGCGTCGGGACACCGGGGGGCAGAACCGGCGAGAGAGTCAAAAAAGTAAAAATATGACATACACGTAATACATTGTAATCTGTTAGGATTCCATTCCTGTATCAAACCATTTCACATACATTTTGTCCCGAGTGCTTTGTCCTGCGCCCTGCCTGCATTTTTACTGTTCTTTCTGCCTGGAAACTGAGAAACGTCCATGGCGTCCAAAAAGCATCCCTTTAGGTCAAAATCAGTTTTAGACCGGCTAGAGAACAGCGATAGTAAATCAGAACCACTTGCAGAATTGAGCGATAATGATTTGTGGGGGAAATTCCTCATCAGACACTGAAAACGATTCTGCGGCTGAGCTCAGCGATGTGCCAACTTGGCGCTTTATTTCAAATTTCAGTGTTTTTGGTTTGATTATATTATTGAATTGCATTTATTATTATATTTTTTATAATTTATGATTTCGGGTTTCATACTTTATCATACCCGGGATGTTTACTAGACTCTCGTTTGGACAGATTTAAGTGAGTTATTCCTGAGAATTACAGGCCTACAATATAAAACAACTAATTTCCATGCAAAACAATGTACTGCTTTGACTTTAAAAAATATTAACATAATTAGGCTGCCAGGGAAGTTAATAGATGAAGTAAAAGCAAGGAGATCCTTGCATTAGAGGTCCTTGGGTACAGTTTCCTCTCCAGCAAGCACAGCAGTGCACAGCTCAGTACTGACATCGCCAAATGTCACACAGACTGGCAGAGAGGCACATGGGTTGATTTACTAAAACTAGAGAATGCAAAATCTGGTGCAGCTCTGCCTAGAAACCAATCCGCTCCCAGGTATGGTCTTTTTTTTTCTTTTTGTTTTGTTTTTTTGGTCAAAGCTTAATTGAAGAAACTGAAGTTAGAAGCTGATTGGCCACCACTAGATCTCACACTTTCCAGTTTTAGTAAATCAATCTCATGGTGTTATGTACTAGTTCCAGAGACACATGGCTTCATATAATAGGTTTGGCTTAAGTGCCCCAAAATAGGTATTGATTGAAAGACTTGAAATGGCTACTTCCACCACACCCCAATGTTTGCCATGTGACATTTATTTATTTCAGGTACTTGTATAGCGCTATCAATTTACGCAGCACTTTACATATATATTGTGTCACACAGTTCACATCAGTCCCTAACCCTCAAGGGGTGTACAATCTAAGGTCCCTAACTCAGATTCATACATACACATACTAGGGCCAATTTAGACAGAAGGCAATTAACCTACCAGCATGTCTTTGGAGTGTGGCAGGAAACCGGAGTACCCAGAGGAAACCCACGCAGGCACAGGGAGAACATGCAAACTCCAGGCAGGTGGTGCCGTGGCTGGAATTCAAACCAATGACCCGAGAGTACTGCCAGGCGGAAGTGCTAACCATTTAGCCACTGTGTGACATTCTCTTTTAGGGTCCCTATGGCAGCCATGCACTAGTTAAAGAGATTGTAAAGCCTCAACTTTGTTTTATTAAAATAACAACCATGTGATACTTACCTGCTCTGTGTAATGGCTTTGCATAGAGCAACCTCAAACTTCCCCTTCTGGAGTCCCCCGCCGGTGCTGCAGGTTCCCTCTCTTTGTGTGCCACCCATAGCAAGCTACTATCTATTGGGGCATACCTGCAGACTCGCTCCTGAGCCACCCTGCTCTCCTTTGACACAGACGATGTGACCCTGCCCCCATCTCACCTTACACCATTTGATTGACAGCAGCAGGAGCCAATGGCTTCTGCTGCTGCCCAAGTCTGAGAAAAGGAAGAGAGAGGAGAGAAAACTGCAGCTGGACACAGCACTGGATTGCTGACAGGCTCAGGTAAGTATTTAGAGGGGGACGGGGGCAGGAAAATGGTTAGTGGGGTGTGTTTATCTTAAGACAGTGATGCAGTCAGGTGAAAAACACTCAGCCATTAGATCCACTATAACACATGCAAGTACTGGAAATTATTTTGAATGTCGATAGGGATTTGCATGTTTAGATTTGGCTGGTTGGTGCCTGTTGCTTGTGTAACTACTTGTATGCTTTCTGTCCTGCAGGCAATGGCATCCACAGAAGAAAAAGCCTATGAGATTATGAGGGAGCTGGATGTCAGTTATGTCCTTGTTATATTTGGAGGCCTTACCGGATATTCTTCAGATGGTGAGAAATAAGTCTTTAACCATTAGCCACCCGGCCTATAGCCATTTGGCGGCGGCAAAAATGCATCACTTCCCCCAAAAAAATACTGATCACTTCCTCAAAGTAGTACAATGTTACTATGGTAACATTGTACTACTTTGGTCATAGTAAAATATGAAAAAAAAAAAAATCTTAAAAAAAGTAATAAATTAAAAATAAAAAAAAAAATATATATATTTTTTTTTTTTCATACTGTCACCAGTCAGTGTCCCTGTTCACCGCCATGCCAGTTATATGATGAGGCTGTACTGCACTGGTGACAGTATGTAAAAAAAAAAAAAATAGTAAATAATTTTTTTAATTTTTCCGAAAAAATTATGACAAAAAAAATACAACTTCAAAAAACTCGCCATTCCTCTTATGAAGTACGTCGGACTGTCTACTCTGCAAAAAGGGGTCATTTGGGAATATCTGTACTGTTCTGACATTGGGGGATGTCTGTACTGTCCTGACGTTTGGGGGATATCTGTACTGTTCTGACGTTTGGGGGATATCTGTACTGTCTGACCTGACATTTGGGGGATATCTGTACTGTTCTGACATTTGGGGGATATCTGTACTGTCCTGACATTTGGGGGATATCTGTACTGTTCTGACGTTTGGGGGATATCTGTACTGTTCTGACGTTTGGGGGATATCTGTACTGTCCTGACGTTTGGGGGATATCTGTACTGTCCTGACATTTGGGGGATATCTGTACTGTTCTGACGTTTGGGGGTACTGTCCTGACGTTTGGGGGATCTGTACTGTTCTGACGTTTGGGGGATATCTGTACTGTCCTGACGTTTGGGGGATATCTGTACTGTCCTGACATTTGGGGGATATCTGTACTGTCCTGACATTTGGGGGATGTCTGTACTGTTCTGACATTTGGGGGATGTCTGTACTGTTCTGACATTTGGGGGATATCTGTACTGTTCTGACATTTGGGGGATATCTGTACTGTCCTGACATTCTTGGACCTCAAGAAATTAGATTGGCCGTCAGTACTTCAGGATTGATCAATATTCAGATCTATCCCATAGTTTGTGAACTCTATAACTTTCCTACAAACTAAATAATACATCCTAATTTGGGTTATTTTCACCAAAGACATGGAGCAGAATACATCTCGGCCTAAATTTATGAAGAACAATTATTTATTTGCAAACTTTTTTATAACAGAAACGAAGAAAAACGTGTTTTTTTTCAAAATTTTTGGTCTTTTTTTGTTAATTTAGCAAAAAATAAAAACCCCAGCGCTGATTAAATACCACCAAAAGAAAGCTCTAGTTGTGTGAAGAAAATTATAACATTTTAGTTTGGGTACAATGTTGTATGAACGCGCAATTGTCATTCAAAGTGTGAGAGCGCTGAAACCTGAAAAATGGCCTGGGCAGGAAGGTGTAAAATTGCCCGGTATTGAATTGGTTAACATGATTGTAAAGCTTCATATTTCTTTTTATTAAAATAAGAAACATGCCATACCTGCTCTGTGTAATGGTTTTTCACCCTCTTCTGGGTTCTCTGCTGGTTCTCCTGGCTCCACCCACTTGCTGAGTGTCCCCTGAGCAAGTTGCTTGCTCTGGAGGCACTTGTGCATACTCACTCCTAAGCCCTGCTTTGTGTGTCCGTAAGATACACAGAGCAGGACTCGCCCCTGCTCATTGTCACTGGCTCTGATTGACAGCAGCAGGAGCCCATGGCTTCTGTTGCTGTATCTGAGCCAAAGAGGAGCAAAAGAGCCAAGAGAGTGTGGGCTCTCGTGCACATCGCTGGATCAAGATCGGGCCACGGTATGTATTTAGGTAGGCTATGAGGCAAGCTGCATATAGAAGGATTTTGACCTCGATGCATAGAAGGCAGTAAGGTGTAAAAGACCACCTGCCTTAACGACCACTTTTAAACCCTTCCAGCCAGGGGGGTTGGCCTCTTATACGTTGGTAATGCATAGGCTTCCTGACTGATTCAGTGATCATGTGATGGGGAACCCATCTTACCGACTCATGATTGTCAACAGCGACTGCACAGTCACAGTGCTTGGGGGCACCAAGCAGAAAACCATGGCAGCCGTGTGTGTGTTTTCATGTACTTGTATAGCGCCGTCAATTTATGCAGCACTTTACATATATATATTGTACATTCACATCAGTCCCTAACTCACATTCATACATACTAGGGCCAATTTAGACAGGAGCCAATTAACCTACCAGCATGTCTTTGGAGTGTGGGAGGAAACCGTAATACCCAGAGGAAACCCACGAAGGCACAGGGAGAACAAGCAAACTCCAGGCAGGTGATGCCGTGGTTGTGATTCGAACCGACGACCTGAGTACTTCCAGGCGGAAGTGCTAACCATTTAGCCACTGTGCTGCCCATATATTTATATATATATATATATATATATATATATATATATATATATATATATATATATGGCACCCCCATGCTACCATGCATTTGCATATATGGCCGGCGTTGAGTTAAGAAATCATAATGCAACATCTTGGTGGCTCTCTCTCTATATATATATATATATATATATATATATATATATATATATATATATATATATATATATATATATATAAATTTTTTTGGGTTGGAAGGGTGGCTTTTTTTTTTTTTTCTTTTTTTTTTTTTTTTTAGATTGTTTGTAGCTACAGCTTGTATCTAAGTTTTTGTAGCTTGCAGTGGGAAGAGTTGTGGAGGGGGTTCGTCTACCCCGCCATTATTTTTAGTTTTGTGTTGGCCTTGAGATGAGTTGACTTCATCAATGTGTTTTTTACTTTCAGATATCAACAAATTTTTGTGGATGGTGAGAATCGGTGGCAGCACAGACACGGGAAGACACATCAAAGAACATGATTACTACACACCGACAGGGGAGTTCCGCGTGGACCGGGAAGGCTCCCCAGTTCTTCTTAATTGCCTTATGTACAAGATGTGCTATTATCGCTTTGGCCAAGTCTACACAGAAGCCAGTGAGTGTCCTCCATACGCTTTCCTTCTCCATTGGTATAATATCTTCATCTTTCTGTCAGGTCATTTGGCTTTAATGGTGATAATATATACAAGGGTTAGACCAAAGAATGGAAACACAACATGATTTGCAGGTGTGAAAGTGACAACATGTTTCGTGGTATTATTTCAGGTACTTATATAGCGCCGTCAATTTCTGCAGCGCTTTACATATATATTGTACGTTCACATCAGTCCCTAACCCTCAAGGGGTGTACAATCTAAGGTCCCTAACCCTCAAGGGGGGTACAATCTAAGGTCCCTAACCCTCAAGGGGCGTACAATCTAAGGTCCCTAACCCTCAAGGGGCGTACAATCTAAGGTCCCCTAACCCTCAAGGGGCGTACAATCTAAGGTCCCTAACCCTCAAGGGGCGTACAATCTAAGGTCCCTAACCCTCAAGGGGCGTACAATCTAAGGTCCCTAACCCTCAAGGGGCGTACAATCTAAGGTCCCTAACCCTCAAGGGGCGTACAATCTAAGGTCCCTAACCCTCAAGGGGCGTACAATCTAAGGTCCCTAACCCTCAAGGGGCGTACAATCTAAGGTCCCTAACTCACACATACACATATACACAAACTAGGGCCAATTTAGACAGGAGCCAATTAACCTCCCAGCATGTCTTTGGAGTGTGGGAGGAAACCGGAGTACCCGGAGAAAACCCACACAGGCACAGGGAGAACATGCAAACTCCAGGCAGTTGGTGCCGTGGTTGGGATTCGAACCAACGACCCTAGTACTGCCAGGCGGGAGTGCTGCCCATTTAACCACTGTGCTGCCCTAAAAGTGGAAGTGATGTAACATTCTTTTGCTTCCGCTGTGTGATGCGACACCTAGCTAGCAGGTGGGAAGCCTCACTTTCCTCACTCATTGCATGCACTGCTAGTAATACGGAGTCATGTCGGAGCTTACTGAGCTTCAAAGAGGGTAAATTGTTGGTGCCGCTTAGCTGGTGCCTCTGTGACGGAAGTTGCCAAATTTTTTGCCAAGTCGCCAGGTACAGTATCAGAGGTTCTGGCGGTATATACACTTTCCAGGAAAACGCTATCTAAGCATAAACATGGTCAACTGACCGAAAGAAACAAAAGGACATTGCGCAGGATTGTGACCCGGAATAAGAAAACAACTGCTGCAAAAGTGACTGCAGAGCTCAATCTCAGTCTTCACAGGACTGAGATTGAGCTCTGCAGTCACTTTTGCAGCAGTTGTTTTCTTATTCTGGGTCACAATCCTGCACAATGTCCTTTTGTCTCTTTCCGTCAGTTGACCATGTGACCACACCTATGCTCATTAGATGACCTTTTTCTGGAAACTGTATATGTCGTCATAACCTTTGATGCTGTACCTTGTGACACAGCAAATTGACAACTTCAGTCACAGAGGCACCAGCTAAGCAGCACCAACAATTTGCCCTCTTTGACGTTCAGTAAGCTCTGACATGACTCCATACTACTAGCAGCGCATGCAGTGAATGACACAAGTGAGGTTTCGCACCTGTTAGCTAGGTGTCTCATCACACAGCAGAAACAAAAGAATGTTACATCACTTCCGCTTTCAATGCAAAACATGTTGTCCCTTTCACACCTGCAAATCATGTCATGTTTCATTTGTTTAACCCCTGTATATCAGTCATTACGGACTGTGGATGTGTAGTTATATTTGCTAGTAATCTACCCTTTTTCATTGGATGAAGCCTACATATTATAAATTAAATGTGACGATAAAGTTTGCATTATTCCAAACGCCATATTCTCCAATTTTTGTTTTTATTCTTTAAACTACAGAGAGACCTCCAGGATATGATCGGGTGAGAAATGCTGAGATTGGAAACAAAGACTTTGAGCTCGATGTTTTGGAGGAAGCCTACACCACTGAGCACTGGCTTGTTAGGATATACAAAGTATGTGTTTTTATCCTCAAATTCTCCAGTTATCTTTAACCTATAAGTGTTAAGTGGTCCTTGTGGTTTGTAAACCTTAGGCCATACTACAAGTGCCATAGGATTGCATGTTCCTCTACATCAGTGGTCTCCAAACTGTAGCCCAGGGGCCGGACACAGCCCTTAGCTTGCTTTTATCTGGTGCTTGGGGCACTTTTTCTCCCACTGATGCAAGGCCCTATTCCTCCCACTGACACCAATGATGGGGCACTATGCCTCCCACTGACACCAATGATGGGGCACTATGCCTCCCACTGACACCAGTGATGGAGAACTATGCCTCCCACTGACACCAGTGATGGGGCACTATGCCTCCCACTGACACCAGTGATGGGGCACTGTGCCTCCCACTGACACCAATGATGGGGCACTGTGCCTCCCACTGACACCAGTGATGGGACACTGTGCCTCCCACTGACACCAGTGATGGGACACTGTGCCTCCCACTGACACCAGTGATGGGGCACTGTGCCTCCCACTGACACCAGTGATGGGGCACTGTGCCTCCCACTGACACCAGTGATGGGGCACTGTGCCTCCCACTGACACCAGTGATGGGGCACTGTGCCTCCCACTGACACCAGTGATGGGGCACTGTGCCTCCCACTGACACCAGTGATGGGGCACTGTGCCTCCCACTGACACCAGTGATGGGGCACTGTGCCTCCCACTGACACCAGTGATGGGGCACTGTGCCTCCCACTGACACCAGTGATGGGGCACTGTGCCTCCCACTGACACCAGTGATGGGGCACTGTGCCTCCCACTGACACCAGTGATGGGGCACTGTGCCTCCCACTGACACCAGTGATGGGGCACTGTGCCTCCCACTGACACCAGTGATGGGGCACTGTGCCTCCCACTGACACCAGTGATGGGGCACTGTGCCTCCCACTGACACCAGTGATGGGGCACTGTGCCTCCCACTGACACCAGTGATGGGGCACTGTGCCTCCCACTGACACCAGTGATGGGGCACTGTGCCTCCCACTGACACCAGTGATGGGGCACTGTGCCTCCCACTGACACCAGTGATGGGGCACTGTGCCTCCCACTGACACCAGTGATGGGGCACTGTGCCTCCCACTGACACCAGTGATGGGGCACTGTGCCTCCCACTGACACCAGTGATGGGGCACTGTGCCTCCCACTGACACCAGTGATGGGGCACTGTGCCTCCCACTGACACCAGTGATGGGGCACTGTGCCTCCCACTGACACCAGTGATGGGGCACTGTGCCTCCCACTGACACCAGTGATGGGGCACTGTGCCTCCCACTGACACCAGTGATGGGGCACTGTGCCTCCCACTGACACCAGTGATGGGGCACTGTGCCTCCCACTGACACCAGTGATGGGGCACTGTGCCTCCCACTGACACCAGTGATGGGGCACTGTGCCTCCCACTGACACCAGTGATGGGGCACTGTGCCTCCCACTGACACCAGTGATGGGGCACTGTGCCTCCCACTGACACCAGTGATGGGGCACTGTGCCTCCCACTGACACCAGTGATGGGGCACTGTGCCTCCCACTGACACCAGTGATGCGGCACTGTGCCTCCCACTGACAAAAAAACAAGACCGACAATTTTGAGGAAAAAAAAAAAATATATTTGTGACTTTTTGCTATTAAACGTGTGCAATAAAAAAATGTAAAAATGTCTTTTTGCTTAAAAAAAAAAAAAATCTCAATATGTGTAAATTAATTGGTTTACATGAAAGTTATGGCGATTTTTTATAAATATATACACACACACTAATAGCAGCGATCAGCAACTTATAGCGGGACTGCGACAGGCATTCATCCCCAGTGACACCAATACAGTGATCAGTGCTAATAAAAAGCAATGACATTGTACTAATGGCACTGGGCAGGAAGGGGTTAACATGTTGGGTGATCAAAGGGTTAACTGTGTGCTGTGTTTGTTGTTTGCTAACAGTTCTTCCCCCTGTCGTTGATGCTTGGCAATCACCGGGCACCGGCGAGTAATCACTGGCGGGGACCCGGTGACTGTCGGCTGCTGCCACAAATGGCGGTGAGGGTAGGGCACACGGGCCCCCTACCCAGAAATGCAAAATCACGTATATATACATGATTTTGCACACCTGTGCCACCCTGTAGCAGTATATCTTGTTTTTTTTTAAACCAAAATAACAAACATGTTATACTTACCTGCTCTATGTAATGGTTTTGTACAGAGCTGCCCCGATCCTCCTCTTCTCAGGTCCCCTGCCAGCGCTCCTGGCCCCTCCTTCCTGCTGAGTGCCCCAGGTCAAGCAGCTTGCTCTGGGGGCACCCAAGCAGACGCACTCCCGAGCTCCCGCTGCTGTCATAGCCAATCAGGAGTAAGAGTCCCTAGAGAGCTGAGGCTCTTGTGGCCATCACTGGATCGAGAGGGGGCGCAGGTAAATATTAAGGGGGGTGGGGTTTGCTGCACAACGAAGATTTTTTTTTTTAAAAGTAAAAAAAAACTTGAGCCTTTAGAACCACTTTAACCTGTGTGTTGCCCATGCCCCTACAAACCAGCAGGTTCACCTAATATTCACCCTCCAGTACTGTACTGTTACCTTCTCTTTGATTCCATTGCTGCGGCCAAAGGAAACAAGAAAGGCAGTGTTTGTGTATGCGTCAGCGGGCTGGGAACCCTTATCTATGCGACAGCCCTGGGTGCCTGAAAAGACGACCTTGAGCACCAGCGCTGTCACAATAGGTAGGTACGGCCAATCCTTAAAAACCTGGGAGGCATGTTTCTCAAAACTGGAAGTACCACTGTTACCCGGTCCCTGAACAGAACAGCTGGAGAGCATTGTGTGCATGCGTGCGTACGTACGTACAGCTGAACAAGGCAAAGGAGAGTCCATCCCCCACACTAAAAATTTTTGTAGTCTTCTATAATCACTTTTCGGTGCTGTCTTGCTTGAATAACATACTTACAAGCCCAACAGATCCAGCATTGTCCTCTTTGTGGGTGCCATTCTCTTATGCCAGATTCTGTCCCACACCGCCATCTTTCTTTTCTGGTTGTCAGCAAGTGCCCACCCCCATCCCATTGATGTTATCTGGCACCATGTCTGTTTAGCTATTCCTCCTGCTGTAGCGATATCCCTTATCCAGGGAGGCATTACTTTCTTCTGTTCATAGATAGAACAATATGGACACAGCGACAGATCTCTGCCTGCACATGTGAGAGATCTGGGACCACCCTTGTGTACATATTCTATAAATGGGGGAAGTAATGCTGCCTGGGATATGTGAGGATGATATTCGAGGAGGCTGCAAGTGACAAAATGCCATTCTTGCCTACAGCAAGAAAAGCAGATGGGGGGGCAAACTGAAAAAGGGAAAAAATGTAAAAAATTAAATTAAAGTTCATATATATATTTATATATATACAGTTGTGACCAAAATTATTCAACCCCCAATGCTGTAAAGGGGTTTAGGGACTATAGTGTACATTTGGAATTGTATTCAGAATCAAATCCTACAAGGACGGACGTTGTAACTACCCAAATGCAACTAAAATGACATCAATTGTTTATGTAATACAGTAGTAAATGGTTCTTATGTGGTTTCTTCATTGCCACAATTATTCAACCCCTTAAAGACTACCACTCTGAAGAACAGAGGTTCATACAGGTGCTTTCCATCAGGTATTGAAAACACCTGTGGATGTCACCGAGCAGCAATCAAGCATAATAAGCACCAATTAGGCAGCTTTAAAATGACTGTGATACTCAGCTCCTTCTAGACATTTACTGGTGTGGTTACAAACATGGTGAAGGCAAGAGAATGGTCAGGAAGACAAGAGAAGAGGTGATTTCTCTTCACAGGAAGGGCAATGGCTATAAGAAGATTGCAAAGATGTTAAACATACCAAGAGACACCTTAGGAAGCATCATTCGCAAATTCAAGGCAAAGGGCACTGTTGAAACGCTACCTGGTCGTGGCAGAAAGAAGATGCTGACTTCGACTGCTGTGCGCTACCTGAAGCGTAGAGTGGAGAGAAGTCCCCGTGTGACTGCTGAGGAACTGAGAAAAGATTTGTCAGATGTGGGTACAGAAGTTTCAGCCCAGACAATAAGACGCACACTGCGTAATGAAGGCCTCCGTGCCAGAACTCCCAGGCGTACCCCCTTGCTGTCTCCAAAGAATAAGAAGAGTCGACTGCAGTATGCCAAAAGCCATGTGGACAAACCACAAAAGTTGTGGGATAGTGTTCTGTGGACTGATGAAACAAAATTAGAACTGTTTGGGCCCATGGATCAACGCTATGTTTGGAGGAGGAAGAACAAGGCCTATGATGAAAAGAACCTTGCCTACTGTGAAGCATGGTGGAGGGTCAATCATGCTTTGGGGCTGTTTTGCTTCTGCAGGTACAGGGAAGCTTCAGCGTGTGCAAGGTACCATGAATTCTCTTCAGTACCAGGAGATATTGGATGGAAACGTGATGCAGTCCGTCACACACACCTGAGGCTTGGGAGACGTTGGACCTTTCAACAGGACAATGATCCCAAGCATACCTCCAAGTCCACTAGAGCATGGTTGCAGAGGAAAGGCTGGAACATTTTGGAGTGGCCATCGCAGTCACCAGACTTAAATCCGATTGAGAACCTCTGGTGGGACTTAAAGAAAGCAGTTGCAGTGCGCAAGCCTAAGAATGTGACTGAACTGGAGGCCTTTGCCCATGAAGAATGGGCGAAGATACCCGTAGATCGCTGCAAGACACTTGTGTCAAGCTATGCTTCACGTTTAAAAGCTGTTATAACTGTAAAAGGATGCTGTACTAAGTACTAAGATTGAATGTCACTTGGGGGTTGAATAAAATGATAATGCTGTGAGCACAGAAAAGACATTTGTGGTTATTTCATTATAACTGTTATGTTATATTTGTCTGACCTACAAGTGCCTCTTTAATGTAAATGTAAGCAAGATGACTGAATGATCAAAAGCAATGTCAACTGGCCAAAACACTCAATTTCAGTGGGGGTTGAATAATT